AGTTTACAAATTTGTAAAATATTTAGGTTCTTAAAAAATTATATAGAGGAACTCAGTGTGAATATGGTATGCATTTATTACAAACCCGTTTATACCACAAGGCCTGGTGTCCCCGGTGCCCTTGAACAGGGGTTCTTTTGACCTAAACGTACCACTCAAGCATCCAGCACAGATCACCTGCTATCCACTGGGTCATGTAATCCTCATCCTGGATATAAAGTCGTTTTTGTTTCGTTTGTTCGTGTGTATGTGTGTATATCTGTGTCCGTGTCTGTCTCTCTGTCTGTCTGTGTACACACATATGTAGGTAGTACTGGAGATTAAACCCAAAGCCTTTGTGCTGAGCTACATCCACAGCCCTTTTTTATTTTTACTTTTGTGACATGGTCCCTGAATTGCCCAAGTTGGGCTCATACTTACAATCTTCCTGCCTCAGCCTCTCAGAATGCTGGGATTATAGGCATGTGCAACCATAGCTGGATAAGTTAAGTTTTTATTGAATGCCTAAGGATCGCCACAGAAAATAGTAACATTGCTGAGTTGTAGGATACATCCTAGAAGGTCTAAGCAGCTGTGGAGAGAAAGGATAAGGAAGGGCCTGAAGGGAAAGGGAGCCTGAGTTGTAAGAGAAAAGGCAGTTGGGGTTCCAGGGAACAGGGGGAGCCTCGGGGCCAGGGCAGAACTAACGGTAAGGCCGGGCCAGGCAAACAAGTGTTCTTCCTGGGAAGGAGGGTGGAGGCCACCAGATGGGGTCATGGGTCTTGTTGGCACAAGCCACTGAGAGCCATTGTAGGGCCAAGCCCTGCAGCAGCCTGGAAGATGCTCTTCTCCTCGGCCACCTTAGCTAGGAGTCCAGCTCCTATCTGAGCTCTGCTCAAGGTCAGAATTCAAGAAAAGCAAAGTACCAAACACATTTCACACGGCCTTGGATTTCCCCTGTCCTTGGCGGGCCTCATGTGCCTGCTGAAGGGTCTCTTTGTCTTTCCATCTCAGGAGAAAAGAAAGGCCCCATCTTAAAGTTTGCCAAGCTCCCGTTTTGTGAGGCACTGGCTCAGAGCACAGGGGCTTTCTCCTTGGTATCATCTTTGTGTGCCTCCCCCAGAGATTGTTTCATGCGTGCCACTTGGTAGTAATTTTTTCTCCTGATGGAAATTTGGGCTACCAGTATGTCTAATATGTGAGCAGGGTCCTACAAAACACACGTTGTTTGTCTGATTAGAAGAGCAGGTGTCTGCCTTTCATGTGGGGGAGGGAAAGCTCTTTTCAAGGAAGAGATGCTGAACATCAGAAGCTAGCCTTTCCGTACTCCAGGCCTGTGCTCCGAGTAAACACGCGGTGGACACGCCATTGCCTGGAAGAGGCAGGTCCGGGCCCCTACAAAAACCTGACAGGAAATAGACCCAGGGCGTTTGCTTTTCAATACACAGACCTTCACATTCTGTTTCCAGAATACTGGCTGCCTCTCCCTAATCTGTTAGTGAGAATTAAGTAAAGGCAAATTACCTGAATACACCTGAGAAGGAAGGAGTGACAGACTTACAATATTAAAGTTGGACTTTAACTCTCTTCCTTTGTGAGCTAGGAAAGTAAGACCAGAGAGACCAGTAAAACCAGCGTGTTTTACCTGTAGTCGTCCAGCAGGACCAGGACTAAGCGCAGGCCTAACGAAGGGTCCAGGGCCCCAACCTTCTGTCACACGCCGCCTATTACTGTGGTAGCATCGAGCTGTTCAACTAAATGAATTCTTCAACAGCACTTTTTTTCTTCCACCCACGTGGGTCAGGGAGTTTAATTCTTCAGATACACTGCGTCTTTTCTGCTTCACATCAGCTGAAGGATGTTGCATGGGCAGCTGCTGCAGTGGGGCTTGCAGTGACGCCCTGAAGGGGGCGCCAGAGGACCATTTCAGGGTCTGCAAGTTGCACACGACTCAAGTGGGTCACCAAGCCCAGGAACTGTGAGGCTGTCACTTCTCCATGTGTAGAATACCTGTAGGCATTTCAGACTCTTAGTCCTGCTAGAGGGGAAAGTATGACAGGGTAAGGAAAAACTAAGGAAGGGAGTTAAATAATCAGGTTTCCATGGTGTCCAGGTCCACCCTCTGTTGCCGTAACTCAAGCGTTCTGGTGAATCGGGAAGAACAGAGGCTTGTTTTGCCCATGGTGCTGGAAGCAGAGCTTCCAAGAGCTTAGTGCCAGTAGCTAGCTGCACAGCTTCTAATAAGGGCCATATGCTGCTTCAACTCGGGCGAACGCAGGAAAGAGCAAGCAGGCACATGCAGAAATAGAAGGGGAGACAGAAGGGCCCACCCCACACTGTACCAACCCGCTCTCAGAACGAACCCAGTCCCTGTACTACACTGTCCACTCTATAGGCCGGCGCCCCCAAGACTAATCACCACTTAAAGGTCCCAGTGGCTCTTGGCGCCATTACACTGGCTCTTAGCTGTGAACGTGAGTTTTGGCAGGGAGCGCAGAGTACACGCTAATCAGACATTTGAAACCCTATGTATTAGCATAGAACAGTCCGCCCAGTAATAAAAAGTACTGTGAAAACATGACTTGTTGCCTCTCACATGAACAGGCTCTCATAAGTAGGAAACGTGTGGTGTAGCGTTACATGATGAAATCAACCCCTGCCGTCACAGGGCGAAGCCTACTTTGGCTGCGGAGAGGAGCGCTCCTCTTTGGTGGTGTTTCGTGCTGCTCGGCGGAAGGGAAGAGGGTGAAGGAAATGGTTGTGTAAGAATGAGGACCCAAGAATGTTACTGTTCTGCATTCTGGACCCTGCTGCTGTAATACAGTCATCTCATGATGTTTTCCCAATCCGCTAGGCTGTTTAAACAGATTCCAGGGTTTATTTTCCCTGGATGATTTAGTCACTTCTTACTGTCAGTGGTCTCACCATCTCTTTTTGTTTAAGAAGAAGAGAGAAATGTAGGTAAATTTGGATTTTTTGGGGTTTTTTGGTCTTTTTGAGACAGGGTCCCACTATGCAGTTCAGACTAGCCTTGAGCTCACTTGTAGCCCAGGCTGGTCTCGAACTCACAGCAATCCTCCCACCTCAGCCTCCCGAGTGCTGGGATTACAGCGTGCTCCACCACGCCTGGCAATGTAGATAAATTTGGAGAAATGGAACCTGTTCTTGTTATTGGCCTTGAAGCTGAGTTTCAAAGAAAAACGCAGGGAGCTGATTTTCCGTCTTGTCCACAGCGCTGGGGATGGCATGTGCTCAGGAGGGCTGTCCAGGGTACCAGGTGTGGTCACCTCGCTCCGTCAGCTGTGCATTCCTCTATTGACTGTGACCCTCAGCCAGGAAGTTGAGAGTGATGTTGCTGAGCGGCTTGCTTGATAAGTGTGTTGGTCTCTCTGTGCTCACATTTCCTTGTTGTGTTTGGATGGGTGAGGGGAAAAGTGTGGTAACATTTGGATCATTCACTTTATGCAGGACCGCCAAGAAATACTTGTTTGACTCTGAAAATTAAGGGATTTGTTCTGCCTCTAGAGTCATTCCTGTGTTATAAGTTTGACTTTCTAGAAGGAGGAAAGCAACCTAATGATCTTGAACTGTCTGATTCATCACGGACTCACTTCCTGTTTCTGCTCATTTATTTACCCCTAGTTTGAGATATTTTGCTGTTTGCCGCCTTTCGTGTATTTGACGCTTTGGCAGGTGATGGTGTGTTCATCATCATCTGTTCAAGTAGCCGGGGAGATTTTACTCCACTGATGCTCAGCCTCTTGCTTCACCGTTCCCCTGTTGTTTCCAGTTTTTCACGCTTAAGGCTTATGCTCCTGGCTTTGTGTTTGTGGAAGGCTGGTTTTATTTTTTCCCCTTTGCATCTCAATGCTGTGGAAAGTACCTTTTCTATAGAGAGCTGTCCTGGGTTGGGGGATGCCACATTGTGGAGTCCGGCCATTTCTGCCGGTCAGCAGAGAAGGGACAGGCTAGTGTGACCTTCCCAGCTCGATTTTGAATGGTCCTATGGAAAAGTCCAGTGTGCAGCTCACTGCTGATTCAGTCACAGGCCTACAGGGCTGGCCGGCCCGTGCCATTCTTCTGTCCCCTGCTGCTCTCCGAGCATGTTGAGTTTTTATTACTACAGAGAAGAAGGAAACTCAGCCCCTGTTGTCACAGGGCGAAGCCTACTTTTGCTGCAGAGCGGACTGCTTCCCGATGGAGACGCTAGGTACTGCCTGGACCCTCCTTTTCCTCCCTGTCTTGCCTGGTGCAGCTTTGGTATGTTACGACTTGGGGATGCCCCCTGTTGAAATGTTGAAACCGTGAATGAATCATCCCCAAAGTATTTAGACAAAGCAGCTACAAAAACCAGAGCTGTAGTTCCAAATGTAACAGTCTTGGGGAGCTGTGAGCCTGGTGCTGTATTTATTGTTTACGAGGAATGTCTGCAAACAGAGCTACTGGGAATCCTTTCACTAAGGCACTTTGCAAAACAAATAGGAGTGCGTTTGCATACTTCTATTCCTTTCCAAATATAGAAAAGCATAATTCGTGTTTTTGAGCAGCCCAGGCGATCTGTAAGAGGATAAAACCTGTGTTTATGTGCTCCAGTGATGGGGAAATGATACTAGCACCCTGAGTGGATTACAAAGAGCCATTATGTGCTTTCTGAGGTTTTTCACTTATTTGTCAAATAGGCAGAATATTTTTATCGTGTGATGTTTCCTGGTATGAAATGCTGTGGGTTCTTCAAGGAGGCCCTGTTATATAAATAGCCAACAGCGTGGTTGTACTTTTGACTCTCTACCTTTGTTTAGTGAAAAGTGAGTGAGTTGGCCCTGTGCTGTGAAATTTGAGGTCGGGAGACGTGATTGTCTACCTAAGACGCTAGGATGATCTGGTTCCTTCCTGCTCTTGCTTGCTGGCACTGTGTTGCTGCGGAGACTTGAGCTTCTCTGAATGCGTCTGGAGAGTGAAGATGATGGGACTTGGCCACTTCGGAAACACCACACTGAAGAACAGTAAGGACGCTCGGGCAGTGCCGCCTTAGCTCCGTGCATCTGCTTCCCCTTGCTTTTTAGAGCACACTTAAGTGCCCTTCGTAAGTCATTCTTCCAGGATATTGGAGTTCGCTGTGATCCTGCTTGTCAAGCCCTAAGCACAGTGATTTAGTGGCCGGATTTATATTTTTTAAATCTGCAGCCAATTGTGGAACACGCAAGCTTTTAAGAGGATTTAGAACTTCTAATTCACTGGTCTGATTTATCATGGGCTTTGCACTTAACAGCAGCTTCCAAAACAAGAATCCCGTGTTTCTTGTCAGCACAGTCATCTTGGAGAAGGCTTTCTGAGTGTAGAAAGGGCCAAGACAAAGGCTGGGTTTATCAGCAGAGAATTAGAGGAAAGAACGAAGAGGGAGACGAGAGGAGGAAACGGGACGTGGGGAGAACCTGATTGTAAAAATGCCCCGAGCAGCTCTGTGTTTATGTGTCTTTGCCTCGAACCTGTATTTCGCAGAACCCATGGCGTCAAAACTGTTAATTCACTTTGTAAAACCCAGGACTGTAACAGGATTTGTACTTCTTTGTGCTGACTTAGATACCGGAAGTGGTTTTTCTACCATTTGTCAGATTCAGAGAAAGACTGTCATCCCCTGATCCCGAATTGAGAGATGCTCAGTGAGCTTCTCTTTGTGCCTCTTAGGGTCTGCGTGCCCGTGCTTACATGTTCCTGCCACTTCTGCAGAAAGCTCAGACGAACCTGGGGCAACCAGAAAAGCCCGTGTTAGAAAGTCTGTCTTGGGATCATGGCCAGCTGAAGCAACTTCTAATCTGGTCTTGGAAAACTCCTTATTTCCCTTCTTATACCCCCAACACACACACCACATACACATACACACACACACACGCACACACACGCCACACACCCACATGCCACACACTGCCGCCAGCAGGACTGCCATCTTTCCGCTGTGGGCTGACTGATTAGCACAGCCTCCCCAGGCTCTTGAGGCCCTTTCTTCTGCTCCACAGCAGTTGTTTATCTGATGATCTTGGCTCCAGCCTGTGATTTCCAAACAGACGATAACTCTTTTTCCACTGCTGTGACGGGGCACAAAGCGTAGCTTCTCCAACTGAGCCCAAAGGGAGTTTCTGCTCACACCAAGGGAACCCTGACAGTGTGTTACAAACACCGGGGCCTCTCCCACAGCATCATCTGCAGTGGCAGCTCCTAGAGCTTTTGGTGGTGGTGGTAAAATAGCAGCTCAGCCGTCAGTGCCTAGAAACCTCATGCAGAGTCTTAAATCTGACCTGTGACTCTAAAGACACCACGCTGCTGATGGAAGTGACCTGTCACACCCGCCTTAGCACCTCTCTTTCCAGGGGCCGAGTCTGGAGATAGCCTGCAGAAATGGTATCTCTCGAGGGGCAGGGAAAAAAGGAAGAACAGGTCATCAGCCTTGGGCCTCAGGTGGCTGTGGGAGAGGATGTATTGTTGTCTGTTACCTCTTTTCATGCTTCAGTGATACTTTGGTCCATGTCACTGATCTTTCTGCCAAGGACACTGTCTGTTGTGTGACTGGTGGAGTGAAGGGAAAGGCTGATCCAGATGAATCCTCCCCATATGCTGCCATGTTGGTTTCCTAGGATGTGGTTCAGGGGTGCAGGGAGTTGATCATCACCACCCTACATATCAAACTCTGGGCCACAGGAAGAAACAGGACTAAGACCCCTGGACCTGGTGTCCAGTCAGCCCGCGGAGCCATTGCTCGCTTGGGTAAGAAGATTGTGAGGACTGAGAATGTCAACCCCCCATCCCCTTTGACAGCACCCAAGGAAAGGATGTTGCCATGGTTGCAGTCTACAAACAAGACTCAAGTTATTCTCTGTTAGAAAATAACTTATAACGCACTGTCAGGGTCCCCTTGATGTGGGCAGTAATTTGTACAAATTGCTTTTGTGTCAGCTGAAAAGGAAAAAGAGAAAAAAACTGCCAACTGCTGCTAAGCAGCACCTCCCAGAAAGCCGTGCTTCCTGCAGCACAGCAGGTTGGACCTTCTGGCCTGGAGCCGAGGAGCCATAGGCTGAGGGCATTGGAGAGGTGATGATGTGGCAGAGACAGCAGGACAAGGTCGGAGGCCATGCCATGGGCAGACGGGCTGGGGTGAAGAACAGCCCAGATGCTAGGAGAACAGCCTGGCCTGGCCGACTCATTCTCTGAGAGGTGAAAGGTGAGAACTGTGAAACGGGAGACTTAGCGTCAGACTTCGGAAGTAATCTGGGCTTTGTTCGTTTCTAGCTTGTGCTCATGGACCGTCCAGTTTAATCTCTATGAAGTGGAGCTAGTGGCTCACAGAATTGTACAGATTAAATGACATAATACCGTGTATGCGACGCGGTAAGTGATCAAAAACTGGTGTTGGTTATAACTGCATTTTTATTATTGTTACTATTGACGCATGGAGGATTAAGAAGTTTAAAAGTTTGGGTAAAGTCACCATGGAAAAGCAGAAAAATGGGCTGTGTAGGGAGCCCTTTCAGCAACTAGCACAAGAATGATGGATCCACTAATCACCAGGACAGGTCAGATCTCCAAGTCCAGCTCTAGCAAGTGACTGTTAACTAGTAAACTGATCTTTAGATTGTTTTGAATAACTTACTTGCATGCAATAAAAAAGGTATGCTGTGAAAAATCCTTCCTCTCTCACTGACACCATCTTCTGGAGCTCATCCAATCGGAGCAGCCTCATTTGTTACAGAATGTGCGATTACACTTAAAGACCCTTCCGTTGCTGCCCACCCAGGGAGTAAGGAGTGGTCTGGGTCTTTCTACACGTGCTGCTGGCTCTTGCAGGTAAGAGCCGCTAAGTGAGTAAACTTCTATATTCATGGCAGCTCTTAGAGTTGAGTGTGAGGGTTCAGAATTAGACATGGGAGAGGCAGGGGAGATGAGAGATGGAAACTTAAGCGTTCCAGGTAGCAGTGGATCTCACACAGAAGGACTCAAGCAAAGCAGTTGTCCTGTGTCCCTGCAGAACCCGCATGCAGAGGCTATGCTGAAGTGGTTCCCTGTCGAAAGTCAGTTCCTTCCTGACACATGACCTTAGAGCCTGCCGCTGTCCCTGGCTAATGTCTGCACAGCAAAATGCAGGTGCTGGTCCCATTCCCTCACCCGCCTCTGATCTGCCCTGCTGGTCCCCAAGAGCATGAGGTGTACATGGCCGCCGACAGGGCTGAGGTTGTGCCTGGAAGTTGCCCAGTACCGTTGCCTATTGTATTTTGGCTTCATTTATGCGTGAGCTATTATGGAGCACCTACTGTGTGCTGACACTCTTAGAAGCCAGGAACCAGCAGGGACCTAGTTTAAACCTTACCTTTATAGAGATCTTATCCTCTAGCAGGAGATGGACAATAGCTCGGTGATTATGGGTTAGACTGTGAGGTGAGATTTACACATTAATGCAGGGACAAGATACAGAATGATAGGGGTGTGGGCAGGGTGAGTTAGGATCTGAGTGAGGTAAAGGAAGGAGATGTGTGATCTTTGGAGCCATGAGACATCCAGGCAGAGAGAAGAGCAAGTGCAAAGGTCCCACGGCAGACGCAAGCTGGACGTGTTGGTGGTTTTCTAGGTGGGTGAGGCAGGGAAAGAGGAGTGGGACGAGATGAGGAAGGATCCCCTCTGTAGGCCGTGTGGGCTATGCCGGGATTCTGGCGTTCCTGCTTAACAAGAGGAAACCCCTGGATGGCTGCGAGCAGGGAACTGATGTGATTAGTTTTCTCCTTTTGAAACGTATTTGAAAGCTCACTTACGAGAAATAATGCCAAGGGCAAATACAAAACCTGGAGGCCAGATAGATGACGGCAGATCAGGAGGTAACATGAACAAGGAATGCTGCGTGTGCAGACACACCTGGGCAGAGGGCATAAGCCCATCAGTTCCTTCCTGGTCTTGTGCCCCACGAGCCTCCACCAGCCCAGCAGTCTTCATGAGTCTGAGCCTGTGTAGGAGGTCCTGTACCAGGAATGGGCGCGGAGGCTGGAGGGGAGCCGTGCAGGATTTGGGGGAACCGTTATACACTAGCATTCTACCGCTGAGCTGTACACCAGCCCTGACTTGTGTGGGTTTTTTTAACGGACAGTCAGGCTACAAGAAATCTAGGACTCAAGCTTAGCAGCTCTCCTTTCCTATTCTCACACTGATTTATCTTTGGCTTGGTTCTCCCGGCTCACTGTCAACCTGCACCCTGGTTTGTGTTGAAATGTGGCCGCCATCAGTTCTCCTGGTAGCCACTGAGAGAGGCTGACCCTTTGCCTCAATTCCAGTTTCCAGTTCCCAGGAAAGAGGGCTGATTGCAAGAGGGCCCAGCCTGGGATATGGCACCCCTGGACCAGTCGGAGATGGCCGTGGGACAAGGGCAAAGGGTGGGCATTACTTTCTACTAGGATGGCACGTACTGACGTCTCAGTGGGCGAATGCGGGTGAAAGAGAGAGAACTCCGAGGACAGAGGAGGTGTCCCCAACCTCAGAACTGTTAGGTGGTGGAATAACCTTAGAATCATCCTTGCAGAATATATCTCTACAGTGGAATTTAATCTTTCTTCCTCTTTTTTTCTGGTTATTTTTTCTTGATGCCTTCTTGACAGTCATGCTCTCCTTTTACTTGTCTCTTCAGTTGCATGCTCTGAGGTGCTCACCATGGTCTGCTTGCCCCATGGTCTTCTCTTAAGAAGATAAAGTCAATGGCATTGGATTGCTAATTGCTTTGTAACTCACATCTGTGGTCTGGGAAAGCTGGGTTGAATAAAAAGCTCTTTGGGTTAGAAGGGAACGTTAATATTGACTATCTCAAATCTAGAAACAGGAAACAGATATTAAAATCATTTTGGAAAATAAGAGTTCAATTTAGGAGCCGTTGGGGAAGGGAAATTGTCTTTACCACCCTTTTTTCTTTTTTTTTGTTTTTTTGGTACCGGTAATGGAACTCAGGACCTTGAGTTTGCCAGGCAGGCGCTTGTGCCGCTGAGCTATATCCCCGGCCCTCTTACCACCCTTTTGAGAAACTTCTCAAAGATAAGAATTGCACTTCACGTTCAGTTTTGAGGTTGTTTCATCACCATGGGTAGTTTTTTCTTTAAAGTGTATATCTCTTTATTCCTCAGTTGTGTTCCTTTTTTAAAAATCGACTTAATTTTACTTAAAAATCAGTCAGTTTTCGGAATTCTATTCTGATAGAGGCAGAGTCACCTTAATTTTCACACAACTTATATGCAAGCCCATTTTTCTTACAAAACATGCTTATTGATTTTGTTTTCCGCATCACTGAGCAAGCTCCTGGCAGCTTGTTTATTACCTGGACATTGTGCTAGAGGTCCTCATTTCAGAATATAGAAGTAGAATTTTATCACTTCAAAAATTACAATGCACAAAATATACCTTCCACCCTGCTAGACACACCTCCATGCTTAGGCTCTGTGAAGGGCCTTTAGGTAGCTATAAGACCCAAAAATCTTGCTCCAAAATACAGTTAATGTGTTAAGAACTCTACCTATTTAGTTTTCTTTTCTTTTAGACCATTGTATTTTCTGAAAGGTTGCAGAGGAGAGTGGGTGAAGCCCATCCTGAAACTACCATCATTAAGGGCTTAACTGGGTCAGGGGTCCTGGTTTAAGAATGGTCACAAATTATCCTTTAAGTTCCATACCCCAGAAGATGAGTTAAGCCCTGTCCTGAATTTTAATATCAGAGATGGTATTTGTTCAAAGAATAAACAGCATAATAGAGAAGGCATACACTGGGAAGCTGCAACACTAGGAATCACATCCTAGCTCTGAACTTCAGGTTTCTTAATCTGCACGATACGGCATTTCGGTGGGGACAGGCACATTCTGTAAAGCTCTGGCCAATAGGTGGCAGGTGCTGGTAAGGAATGGATACATAAGTGTGCTGCATTTATTCTGAACTTTGTAGATTTCACACACCTATCCCATTGAGCCTAACAGTGATCGCCACACCTGTCTTTATCAGCGAGAAAAATTGAAGCTCTGAGAAGGTGGCGTTGGGTTTGTCCTAAGCCAGCTGCTGACCTAACCCGGAAGGTAGCATGTCCTGCTAGTTCCCAAGATGGATGGCTTAAGTGGTCTCCCCCTGGAGAGCCGTCTGGACACTGCTCTGCTGGCCCTGGTGCTTGGAACACCGGTGGACTCTGAAAGCAGGTGGCCTGTTGCAGTTGGCTTTTCACCCAGAAGTCTGTCACCTGCTGTTCCATCTGAAGGTCAGCAGTGCCCAGTGAATAAGAGGAGCGTTTCTGAGGTCCCAGCTCCTGGATTTGGACTTGCTGTGCCGGCTCATCTCACAGCCACTTACAGCTGGAAGCCTCTGTTGCTCAGCCTTAAATGGGGTTACGGTGACATCCACCTCCCTCTTTGGGTTGCTTTTAGAATTCAGTGAGAACCTGCATCTGAGAGTTTTAAAAAGAACCAAGCCCGTGGTAGGCGCTGGCAGATGTTCATTGCTGTCATTACTACCTGTAAAGTAGGCATTACACCCCCTACCTACATCCAAGGCAGCTGTCCCAAGACCAGAGATTGTGTTGTCCATGAGAGGCCAGGCACACAAACTTAGTATGCACAGTGACTGAACACCTTTAGGGTCATTGGCAGGGTGGCAGTGCAAAAACAAATCCTATTCCTGTCTGGGTGGCCTATCTTTGAACAAAACCAGAATACGTGGTAACAGTCATGTTAATCCAGAAGGCAGGAGAAGGATTCCCTACAGGAGGGGGTGCTGCCACCACACCCCTCATCCAACTTTTTGATAGTCACGGAAAGCTGCACCTGCTGCATGCTCCTGGCTCCATTTTACGGGACAGGAAGTCAGCACTCTGCAAAGGGTGTCACCTCACTGACCCAGTCACCCAGGCAGTGGACAAAGCTCCACTGACCCTAAGTCCATCACTCCTAGGTGCTGTCTGCCTGGGGTTAGGAGTGTAAAGCCAAGCGTGTCACCCTGAAAAGCTAACACCACCAAAGCAGGGAGGTGCCCCAAGAAGATAGGAGAGCAGGTTCAGTATAGTTCTCTCACCAATTAAATGGCATGCTGGAAGAAATGTAACCTTATAAAAGTAGGGTGGTATAAAGTCACCATGTCAAACTGGAAGAAAAATAGCAAGAAGAGCTCCAAAGGTTAGTCCCACAGCGCTGATCTATAGCCTGGACCGAGATAGAGGACAGGGAGCGGCCGTGTCCTTTCAGAGATTCTGAGAAACTGACAGATAAGAGTGGGTGGAAACCCAGGGCACGTCCTTGGACTGTCTGTTGGTAGACACTGAGTTTCTCTTTCACTTTGCCTCTTTCCACCTTCAGGTTTGAGCTGAGGGTGCACAGCGGGTAATCATTGTAGCCAGCACCCCAGGGCACAGCATTCCCCAACTCCAATTGCTGGTGCGAGAGCCACCCTACCCCTTCACTAGCTGGGTGGCCTGGCACCCCCTGCCTCCCTGTGGGCCTCGGCTTCCCTTCCTGTACAGTGAGGGAATGAGATTCAGCTGGTTCATTCATTCCTATCATCAGTATCTACAGCACCTTATATGCCAGGCATTGTTCTATGTGCTGAGGGTTCAGCAGTTTCAGAACAGATAAAAATCTCTTCCCTCCTGGAGTTCACATCAGCATGGAAACTACAAGGCTACTTCCGCTGTCATTGGACATTGGATTCTGTGGTCTCCCCATGGTGGCTGATGCTCCTGCCACAAGCCCTGCCTGCCAGGCTTTTAGCAAACTGCACCGCTAGTTGATGGGAGATTGTAAGAGAGCTGCTTTCTTTTTGAAATTTCTATTTTAATATAAATGTTATCAAATTATAGCATCCACTTAGAAAGGGATGTAAACAGAATGTGAATTCTGACACATTGTAACCAGCACTCACGCCAAGAAACAAAACATGAGCCCCATTGGAGAGAGAGTCCTTATGTCCCTGCAGTCCTTGTCCCTCCCACATGGAAAAACCGTCCCCAGCTAGCTAGTACGAGGTCTTTGTTTTGTTAACTTTTATGTGTCCTTTTGTACACTGGTTCTTCACGGTGGCGTATTTGTGAGAGTCACTTACGCTACTTCCCGCTGTCATGGTTGGTTTATTCTCACTGTTCCATGAATATTCAGCAGTTGGACCTTATGGATTATTTCCTTTTGGGGGCAGTTGTTACATAGCGACAGTGCCATGGACGCGAGTGGCTCTGCTTTCTGGCAAACGTGTCTGCGTCACCCAGGGCCATGGCTCTGTCACGGGGTGTGTGTAAGCTCAGTTCTCAGGGACTCTGTCGTTTTCCCCAGAGGATGTACAAAATAGGTCCCACCAGCAACGTGTAATTGTTCAGATGCTGAACACTCAGTTTGTTTCACGCTGTAGCCATTCCAGGTCGTGTGTACTGGTGTCATATTGTGGTTTCAATTTGCATTTCTCTGACATCTCACAGAGTGTGCCAGGGAACTCTGTTCCCTTAATCAGAGCTGTCTGTCCAGCCCAGGCCTTCACCCCGTGGCCTGCCTGGGCGCAGAGGTCCCTACTGTCAGGCTTACCCCTAACTGGCTGGATATTTCCCCAGGAAGAAGAAGAATGGCACCACACGCTCAGCCAGCACTCCTGAGGGCGAGGTGCCTACCTATAAGTATAACATGAACTTTGAGAAGGTGGGCAAGTGCATCATAATAAACAACAAGAACTTCGACAAAGTGACAGGTAGGCAGTGTGGGCCTGGGCTCCCCTCTCCTGTTCCGTTCCATTTGCTCTGGTTTGTATCAGACATCCACTGGAGAAGCGCTGTGCCCAGCTTCCGTGGCACGCAGTCTCCTGAAGGTGGTGTTCTTACATCCGGGGGAAAGTGACGCAGAGAAACCAAGGACCGACAGCCTGAGGACCCACTGTGCGTATTAGCATTCAGGGACTCTGACCAAGTTCTGTTTCCCTTTGATTGGGCCTGGGAGTTACCACCAGAAGATCCCCCTTTTGTGGATGGGCTGAGTCCTCTCTGTTTTTTTTCTTCTCATTTCATTTGCTCCTTTAAATTGTGGCCTTGGAGTGTATTCTGTGTACTCCGAGCGTTCATGCTGGAGCTGGCGCTGGCTGCACTGAACACCTCACCTGAGGATAACCTGTAGATGCAGCTCGTGCCTGGATTCGTTGCTTTATTCCCACAGGCATGGGCATCCGAAATGGAACGGACAAAGATGCTGCAGCCCTTTTCAAGTGCTTCCGTAGCCTGGGTTTTGACGTGGTTGTTCATAATGACTGCACCTGTGCCAAGATGCAAGATCTGCTTAAACGAGGTGAGCACGCACCCTCCCTTCTTGCCCCTGCATGGAGAGGTCTCTGGAGTACGCTTCACAGGACCGAGAGACTTTCATGTGGAATGCTTTCTTCCCCTGGCCGCTCTATACCTGTCCTGGGAGAGAGAAATCTCTTTCATGAGACATTGCTATCTCTGTAAAAAGATGACGTCAACTTGACTTCCTGCAAGAGAAGTAGCTCTTGCTAAACAATATTAGCAGGAAAATATTAGCACCTTTTATCCTGAAATAAAAACAATATTAGCACCTTTTATCCTGAAATAAAAACACCAGGTATGGTGGTATACGCCTGTAATCCCAGCACTTGGGAGACTGAGGCAGGAGGATCACTGCGAGTTCAAGACTAGCCTGGGCTACAAAGTGAGCTCAAGGCCAGCCTGAACTGCATAAGGAGACCCTGTCTCAAAAAAGACCCAAAAAAAGAAAAAAGTAGGTTCTGTATATGTAGAATGGGCCTGGTTCCAAAAGGCTGACTCCCAGGGGAGTGACAAGTCTATATCCTCCTGTCCAGAATGAAGTTTAAGTGCGAAGTATTCCTGGTGGCAGGCAGAGAAGAGTAGTCCCTATACTGTATTCCTGGGAACTGCTTTATTTTCTGTATGGCACATCTATGATCTTATTTCATTAGAAATGAAATAAACCTTTACACAATATTGGCCGATAGTGCTATTATCATGTCCATTTTATAAATGTAGGGATAGTGCTTGAGAGAGGATATAAGACATACTGAAGAGCCAGTGAGGAGCAGAACCAAAACCCAAGCTCGGGTTTTCACACTCCAGGACTAATGCATATCTGTACACCACACCATCTGACAGCTGTCCCCTGTGGTGCTCTGGCATTCAGCGCAGGTGTTTGAAAGCCCTACCAGTTCATTAGACGGGGATCCATAGGCAGCAGATAGTTCACTGTTGCTTTTCTTAGTTGCACATGTTAAAAAGAAAAAGATCCTATCCTCTCTTACTATTTTTAACCAGGCATCTTTTCAGAGTTTTTTCAAACTTGAAACAAGCTTAATTTCTACACCCTAGCAGGTCATGTAGTAGAACAGACTAGAAATCAGGAGTTCAGGTTGTGGGTCTAACCCAAACCCCACAGCTAGGTGGCCCAGGTTTTCTAGGTGACCTAGGACATAGCTTCCCAGTTTATTTCCTTTCCTGAAATGTGGGCCATGATCCCAGCTCTACAGATTTCTTGGGTTTGGAGGGAGGTGAGCATGCTTTTGAGAAGTATTTGGGCCTTAACTCACGGCTTGGACCAGCTGTCCTTTCCATTGTCTTGAAGGTGAATTATTCCACCCAAGATGAGAGCATGTCACTGTTAAGAGAATTCTTAATTTTTATCCTATTAAAACAGTAAAGTGGTTAATTCTCCTGACTTGGTGTTGTAATAGGTTCCAGTGAGGACAAAACTCTACATTTTCCTACTCGATCCTAATTCCTCTGATTTTATAATAAGCTGAGAATTCTAACTTTCATCACCGTGGCTGTGTCTCTCTGTTATCAAAACAAGTACAGAAATCATACAGCTTTGTGCACAGGGATCTCAGCAGTTAGCATGGGAGGAGCTGCGCCTGCTGCCTGGAAGTGCTGAGCAAGGGCGAGGCAGGACCGTCCTTGAAGCATGGCGCCCACAGATTGTACCACCTCTGGGCAGGGTTATGACACCACTCTGAGATTCCAGCTTTTATCCTGAAATAAAAACAATAGAGCCCTTTTTTGTGGGGCTTTTCTTGGGATTCAATAAGATAATTGGCACACAGAACCTGGGTATAACAAATAGTAAGTGCTCATGAAGTTCTAGATCTTCCTCTTCCTCAGCCATCACAGAGAAAAAGAAAGTCTGTGTTTATTAGCTAAATACTTAACTAGTTGGTTAACACCACAGAACCATAGGTGAGTTGGAGCTCAGCCAAGGAGCGATGGAAGCTGCAGTACTGTCCCACCCCAGTGTCCTGAGTTGACAGCCAGTCTAGTATTTTTTCTTCTTCCTTTTTGAAATTTTTTTATTGTGTTGAACTAAACACAAAAGAGAAGTTGCCACTGTAATCTTTTTAAGTGAGTGAGTTTACATTGTTGTACAAACATCACCACCGTCTACCTCCAGAGTTCTTTCCATGTTCATCATTTCTATTAAACATTAACTCCCCGAGTTCCTCTTTGCTGCTGGCAACCACCATTCTTTCCTGCTGTCTCAGTCCCTCATCAAAGACGAGTTGTATAGTACTTGTCCTCTTGTGACTGGCGTATTTCACTTGGCTGACTGTATTATTTTCTTCAAAAAATGCTTGCACAGTGCTTCGCCTGTGGCCTACTTTACAGATACTAACTCATTCAGTGGGTACAACCACCTCTACTTTACAGGCAGGGAAACCGAGACCCAGGGTGGCCCGGGAGCACGCCCAGTGTCACGGAACTAGGGAACAGCAGGGCCCTACCCCCTTCCCCCCAGTATACTGCCTTCCCTAGGCTGCCAAAACACCTGGCCACTGGCTCGCTCCTCATGACACTACCTCGTCTTGGTTTCAGACCAAGCAAGAATTTCACAGTTCTCTTCTCTCTTGTCTTCACTGGTCCTCGGCCTCCTCAGAGGGTGTTCCAGACAAAGCCTGGGCTTCCAGAGGAGCCCGATCCCTGCCCCTCGACCGGCCGCCCCAGGTCCCTCTCACGGTCATGTGCGCTGCCAGTGCTGCCTGCAGAGTGCTACATCTACACCCCCACAGGACCTAAGTGTTACTTGTTTTTTTTTTAATTTTAAAGAGAAAAAAATAAAATTTCAAAACAAATTTAATGGAGGGTAACAGTGGTTTATACATTACATATTGTTACCTTTAAATTAGTGTACAAGATACAGGCATTTAATTGTCTAAACAATATTAGCACAAACCTTTTTCTCAATGAACTCAGAGAAATTAGTAGTATATTTTTAATTATCGTGTGTGTGTATATGTCTACATATATGTATATATATTTTTTTGCTTTTCCCTTCTTTTCTCCTTTCCCCTATCCCAGTTTCTCTTTCCTTTTGAACAGTTTCTTCCCATTTCACAATATCTATTGTACATTTTGTATCTTTCTTACTCTTTCAGCTTCTCATCCCAGGGAGAGCATATGGTGTTTGCACAGGTGCATCTGGTTTATTTCATTTAGAAGGATGGTCTTGAGTTGCATCCATTACCTACAAAAGTCTCCAGTTTATCCTTTATGGCTGAGTAGTACTCCCTAAGTTTCAGTGTTCCAGTGTTTACCTTGCTTGCTTGCAGCTTCTGAGGAAGACCATACGAATTCAGCCTGCTTCGCCTGCATCTTGTTAAGCCATGGAGAAGAAAATTGTATTTATGGAAGAGATGGTGTGACACCAATAAAGGATTTGACGGTCCACTTTCGGGGTGATCGATGCAAAACCCTTTTAGAGAAACCCAAACTCTTTTTCATTCAGGTAATCACTTTTCAAAGCCCTATAGTAGAAAATGGGGAAAAGAAGTGACTCGGACAGCATCATCCTTGCAGATGTACAATCTGTTTCTAGCGGGATATGCGGGTTTGGGTTTGGTTTTTCTGTCTGGATGGTTGCCCTGTGTATCTACATTGGATCACAGTCCAGTGCAGTGCTTTGCTTTGACTAGTAACTCAGCTCACCATTCACCAGACAATCTGAGCTCAGTGTGTGCTATGCACTTCCTGTGCCGCTGGGACATAGCGGAGGAGAGCGCTTCCGTTCCTAACTCCATAGAGTGAGTGATCTCTGCTTTAACATTTAGGCTTGCCGAGGCACGGAGCTTGATGATGGGGTCCAGGCTGACTCGGGGCCCATCAGTGACACCGATGCTAGCCCCCGCTATAAGGTCCCGGTCGAAGCTGACTTTCTCTTCGCTTACTCCACGGTCCCAGGTATCCAGCCCGTTGTCTGCTAACCTCCATCTCACCATCCAGCTGCAGGCTTTTCCCATTGCTGTAGTAATTAATTATGATGTGAGTGCTTCTAACCTGAAATGATTTAAGATTCCAAACTCTTTGAATGCCAGCATCACACGCAGAAGTTTGGGTTTTGGAGCATTTCTGATTGGGCACTTTTTTTCTTTACGGATGTTCAGCCTGTAAAGTCTGTGCACATATTCCAGAATCTAAAACCTCCAAAACCTGAAACACTTTTGCTCCCAAGCATTTTAGCTAAACACTATTCAACCTATGCTACAGGGTATTAACTCATAATAATTAAGTCATAATAAGAAATGCATTGTTTTGCAGTCTGCAGGTCAGAATACCAAAGCACATGGACAGGGCTACCTTTTTTCTGGAGGCTTTGGGGGATAATTCATTTCTTCATTTTCAGTCCAACATGTTAGAACTTCCTGTATTCTTTGGCTCGCTGCCTTTGCCTCCATTTAAAGCCAGCAACCTCACATCCCTCTGACTGTCCCTCTGTCCCCAGATTGCTGTCTCTGGCCACTGCTGGGCAGGTCTCCTGTGATTCACATGGGGCCAACAGGGTCATCCCGCACCTTAGTTCTATAATCTTAATCACATCTGCAAAATCCTTTTTGCCAATAATGTAACATGATAACAGGTTTCGAGTTGAGGGATGGGCATTTTAGGGACCAGTATTCTGCCTTCCATAGGGATGTGTTCCCTTTTCTTTCCAGAAAAGTAGAATTCTCTCCTTTGTTATTGCTATTACTTATAGTAGTTGTAAAAGAAAAACATTTCTGCAGTACTTTATAACTTAGAGTGTTTTTTGTATCTTCCCCCTTATATCATCCTTACTGTAAGAGTGTAGGAAAAGTGTTACTGCTCTTCCGATTTTACAGATGAAAAAAAATGAGCTTGAGTGATGTGTCCAGGGTCAGACAGATTTCAGTGCCTATCATCTGAGCTGGGGCTGAGACAGGGTCCTTTACACAAATAGCAGGAATTGCCAGTGTGACCATGCCTGCTCATCATTCACCAAGCCCCATCCTCGCCTGAGTCCGTTCAGTGAAAGTCCTTCCTTTGTTTTGGGTACGAGCCATCACTAAGTTAGCGTTCTCCTAGCTGTAATAGCGGTTTTGTCGGTTGCTTCATGTGATGGTGTTGGTTACAGTAAATGGGTTAATGTGTTTGGAAAAACCAGTTCTAGTAGGATCTGCAGATGGGATTTAGTGAAGAGAGTAACTTCACAAGCTTTAGGGCTTATATGAGATAGAAAATCATTTGGTGTCATCCTGATCTTGGGAAGCAGACAGTGTAAGAGGCGGGGAGTGTCATTATTAACAAGCCCAATGGTAGAGTTACAGGTGCTCTAAGCAAGGTCTAGAGGAACTCAGAGAGGAAAAAGAAGCTCTTCTAGGGAGGCTGATGAGAAAGGTTTTCCTGAAAAGGAGCTCCTTCCACAGTCATTCAAATTCGGCCACAGGGGCAAGAGGAGGATGGCTTGACAGACAGTGCTGGCGCAAATAGCCCAGTGTGTTTGGTAAATCTCAGGGCTGAACTGTAAGATGTTGTCTGTCAGTGCTCCAGCTGATACAACAAAATACCACGGAGTGGCTTTATCAGGAGGCATTTCTTTCTCGTACTTTCGGCAGCTGGGAAGCCCAGGATCAGGTACTGGCCAGTTTGGTTTCTGGTGAGGGCTCTCTTCCTGACTTGTAACCAGCCATCTTGCTAGGGTGAGAGAGGGCAGAGGGAAGCAAGTGAGCCCAAGCATCAGTGAACTTTCTGGTGTCTCTTCTTATAAGGTCACTAATCCTGTTGGCTCAGAGTCCCACCCTTGTGACTTTATTGAACTTTAATTACCTCCATAAAGGTCCTGTCTTCACACAGTCACATAGAGTGCTGGGACTTCATCATGGGAATTTCAGAGGTAGGCACAGTTCCGTCCATACCACAGCATGTGACAGGGCATGGCAAAGGTCAAACCTGAGCAGGCCCACAAAGGACCATATTGTGATCCCTATGTGCTAGGCTAAGCAGCCTGAGCTTCACCCTGATGAAGAAATGCAGAGAAACTGTTTTTGGTCAGAGTTATAGGATGTCATGTGCTCTTTTGAATGGTTGCCTTGGAGCACCTTTAGGAGAATGGTCAGAGCGCATAGCCCAGGACAATGATACAGTCTGTGACCAAACTCACCAGGTCACTGCATTGAGTGAGATAGTGTAATTGACCCACTTAAAGATGAGTGCATTCTCGTGCTGTTACAACTTCAAACTCAGGCCTCACGCAGGTGACCAGTGCTGTGTGCTGCAGGAGGGGCTGCTAAGTATACCTCAGTTCCTTCCAGTCCCCCAGAGCCACAGGCACCCTGTTTCTGCTGAGCTCTTCCTGCCTTTTCAAGAAGACCTTTGGGCCAGAACGCAGGATAAGAGCCAACTCCCCCTCTCATAAACCATACGTGGTCCATGAGAGACATCTCTTGCCCTGACACTGCCAGCCCTCCCAGGCAGCAGGCTGTCCTGCCTCAGCCCCTCAGTTACTCAGAACCTCTTGCCTCTCCCGTCTCTTCAGCAGGATCCAGCTCTCTAGCTCCCAACGGCAAGAACAAATGTCAGATTTCTCCGAGGTTCTTTACAAGGCTGTTCTCTAGGCTTGGGTTAGAAAGTAGCACTCAGTCCAAAAGGATGCTGAGAAGTGGGGGAGCTGTGGAGTGGTTCTCCACCTTTCCTGTGGACTTTCCCATGTGCAGATTTGTCTCATTGTCTTCTTGGGTGCTCCCTAGGTCCCACAGGGGTGACTGCATCAAAACAGATACGCGTCCACCAGCCCTGGCCTTGAGTGACGCTGGGTGTTACTGGGTCCCCATGCTGAAATTTCCAAAGCATTTTTGAGCATTTTCATGAAGTTCTTTCCATCTGAGATGTTTACCCTCAGCACACCAGCATGGTTCTCATTAGTGATTTATATGCAGACTAGAGGGAAATAATTTCCAGAAAGCAGATCTCAAGGCCCCAGACCCTTGAAAGTTCATTCTCATTGGTGTGGGGAGCAGCTACCAGGTTAGCTCATCAGATCTTCTCATTTCTTTCCCATCAAAGGCTATTACTCTTGGAGGAACCCAGGAAGAGGTTCCTGGTTTGTGCAGGCTCTCTGCTCCATCCTGGAGGAACATGGCAAAGAGCTGGAGCTCATGCAGATCCTTACTAGGGTGAACTACAGAGTAGCCAGACACTTTGAGTCCCAGTCGGATGACCCTCATTTCAACGAGAAGAAGCAGATCCCATGTGTGGTCTCCATGCTCACCAAAGAACTGCACTTCCGCAAGTAACCGTTCCTGCTGGCTGAGAAGCCAGGGATTGCTTGTGGATGAGTCAGATCGTTAGTATCATTATTATTACTATTTTATTTTTATTATTATTATTATTATGATGCTCTTGAAATACCCAGAAATGTTACGAGATTTTAATTTCAGGAAAATGTATTGATTCAGCAGGGAAGAAACATTCTGGTGCTGACGGATGGTCTCCGAATTTTCAGAGACTTCTTTTTTACAATGTTACTCATTTGATGACTTTGTAATTTCCTCTTAAGGTTAATTTTTCTGTTTGTATTTCTTTTACTTTGTTCATTGCACTCAGTACACGCAACAGAAATGACCTCTGGAGAAAGTTCTCAGCCATGTCCACTGGAATTAATGGTGACATTGGTGGAATAGGGTTCTGTTTGCACTTGGAACAATAAATCTCGGCCCTTGACAAAAAATAGCTGAAGAGATAGACGCTGGCCTGTGTTGCAGAAATGGGATTGTATGCTCTGAGTGATTTTTCGTTGGTTTAGGGCAGATTTTTATGCAAGCCTTGCCAGGTAAGAGAGGAGAAAAAAAATCTGATGACTCTAGTATGTATCAGTGAGGGTTCAGTCCCCAAACCGGAAGTTATTCTAGGTGTTAGTATAGGAAATTAAGTTAATAGAAGATAAAGTAATGAAGCCAAACAGCAGAAGACTGTTACCACACCTGGGACTTGAGGACAGTCGGAAGAGGTGTGGCTTCCTGGGGCAGAGGCTGGGATCAGCCACAGAAACTGGGATGCCAGTGGGGACTCCCTGCTGGGAGCTGGGAGCATTGAGGGGCTGTGGAAAATGGAGCCGTGGCTGAGGCAAAGCCACTGGCTGAGATGGTGACAGTGCCAGAGCTGAGTCAGACACCGAGAAACCCCCTGGCCTGCGTCTCCTGTCCTATGTCTTCCACCAGCATCTGACCATTCCATCCTGGAAGCTAGCTGGCCAGAACCCTGGGAGATGTGGCTTCCTCTGATACAGCGTGCAGAGCAGGGGATAGTGAGGCCACAGAACAGCAAAGAGTGGATAGAAGCCTGGCCTATAATGTGAACATATTCCTTGGTGTTCAGCAGTTCATCCAAACATGTATTCATTAAGTTGTCAGATAGTCTACCTATGTGCAAAAAAATGTTTCTGCTTTATGTGCAAGATGGTCTGTGATAGCTTTAAAATCTACTTAGAAGTTTTCAAATTATTCCAGATATTATTCTCAGTAAATTTTTTTGTTACCTCTAATTTTGTGAGGAAGTTTATAGCGAAGATTTGGGGCACTTTGTTTTCAGGATGGTAATATCTTTTGAATTCTTTATATATTACTGTATTTTCCTGCCTAATAACTGGTTAACACATGTTCACATTTATTGATTAAAATGTGACTGCTTAATTCCTAACTGGCTCAGTTCGCTTTCCTTTTTGGGATTCTTACGGCGTGGGGAGATGAGCAAAGAGGGTAAGAACTGACCCTTTTACCGAGACGTGGAGTGGGCCGGCATTGAGGGATAGGGGACGTAAAAGGAATTAAGATGTGTTGTGTACATGTACCAACTCCGCACCATGAATATAATCATTTCGCACTGCAAAGGAAAAATGACACAAAATACGATGCATAATTTCCTTTTGAAGCTAGAACACAGTAAGTGAATAATCATTTGAGAAGCAGAGACTTCACATGAAGGGTTAATCAACTTGTAAACCCATCTGGGATGAGCTGCCATTTATATTAATTTGGCAAAAAAAATCAAACAATGTCAAAGTACCTTCTTCCAAATAAGAAAACCAGTTTTAGGGCCAGTTTATTAGACTTGCCCCTGGTTTCTTGCCATTGAAAAGTATACCAAATGTTCAAAATTGAAGTGGAGATCATAAATTAAGAACCAGCAGGCGTCTATCCTACTCTCCGCAGAATTCATAGGCTGTTGTTTGAAAAGTAGGCTATCATCTAAAGGCCTGTAGCATAGAAAAAAATGTGCTTTAGTGTACTGCAATTTGAAGTAAAAACCACAGCACTCTAAATTTGCTTTGGAAGCTTCATTAAATGGAAAGAAATCACCCTAAATGTTAGTTAATTTTGAGCAGTTATAGGTTACAAACAATGAATATTACAAGTTGAGCATCTAGAATGCTCCAAAGTTCAAAACCTTTTGCATACTCAGAAAGTTTCAAATTTTTGAATTTTGGATTAGTAAAGTCAGTGCAAGTACTTAAAAATCTGAAAAACTGAAATCTGAAACATTTCTGGTCTTAAGCATTTTATATATGACTCTGTCTTACATCCCTGATACCAGAAATGAAATATAAATTGCTATTAAGAAGAGTACCTTAGTGGCACATGCCTGTAATCCCAGCACTCAGGAGGCTGAGGCAGGAGGATCGCTGCAAATTCGAGGCCAACCTGGGCTACAAAGTGAGTTGAAGGCCAGCCTGAGCTGCATACTGAGATCTTGTCTCAAAACGACAAAAGGGAAAAGTACCTTAAGGATTAGGGTATGGGTCAGTGGTAAGGTTCTTGCCTAGAATATGTGAAGCTCAGGGTTCAGTCCCCCAGTACACACACACACATTCACACATGCACACACAATAAAGGGAAGAAAAGGAAGTACCCCTATGGACTTCTCTGGGCAGATAGTCTTATCAAGATCAGAAATCCTGTTCCAAGTTAGCCATCTATTCAGTCACACCTCCATGCTCATACTTTTTAGTCTTCCTATACCTGAAATTCTATTGGTGAGCTTCCCCGGGAGGAAACACAGTCCTGGTGAGTATACATGTTTCTAGTTCTCATTGTCCTCGTGAGCCCAAGTTCCCTGTGCAGAAAGCTCAGACAGCACAGCTTCTGGTACAGCAGGTGGACAGTGTAGTCCACAGCACCCGTGGGTAAAATGAGCTCAAAGCCAGGTTTCTGTTTGTTTTTCTTCCGGGTGCCGCTAACCTATTTAAAATGTTAGCTATTAGTACTGTCACAGGCTCCGTCCTCAGCCTTTTACTCCTGAGCAAATTGCCGCAGATCATCATAAACCTATGATGATGAATTGCCCAAAGCAAATTTCAAAGTGTGGGATCCATTGTATGCACATGATTTAATACCTCAGGGAAATGAAATCCTATCTGTGAGAAAGAAAGGCATCCACTAAAAGGTCACACACATTGACTGACAGATCCTTTATTTTGTCTGGTGTTGGGTTGCCTCACATTATTACCCGTTACCAGCTATTTGGGTCACCATGGTTTGCCTTTTGACTTTGTAGGAGCACTTCCTTCCCTCCAGCTTTCAGGGCCTTTGCCAGAAAACACCTGTATCGTTAAGAAGCTGTGCTAATCGCCAATTTATAGCTGCTATTTGTCTGCATTGCACTCACCTTTCAGGATCCCCAAGGAATTGATCTTGGAATTGGTCCTATGATACCAAAATCTGTGCAGGTTCCAGCCCCTTCTGTAAGTTGGCATGGTATTTGTGTAGAATGTATGCATGTACTATATACTTTAAACCATCTCTAGGTTAATATGTATAAATGCTATGTAAGTAGCTGTTATATATTATTTAGGGAACAAGGTCAGGGAAAACATAGTCTACACATTCAATACAGGTGCCATTCTTATATATTTTCAATCCGTAGTTGGTTGAGTCCACAAATACAGAATGCGTAGATAAGGAGGACTGATTATAGTAGGCTGGGGGACAAACCAGTGCCCCAAGCATCTCTAGGGATTTTCCCCAGATCACCCGAGATGAGAACAACAAGAATCTGTGTCTTAACCAGCTCCCCAGGTGATCCATATGCTCATTGAAATCTGAGACACTTTTGAGGGTGAGAACCATGCGTTTAACTATTTTTGTTTTCTCTCTACACTCAACTTGGAGCTGATCACATAATACATGTATGATATTTTGAAGTTTTCATGGAATTGTTTTCAAGCATCTCTTAACCTACAGAAGATCCTCTGATACCCTGTCTTTGTCTGGTTTTGCTTACTGTCGTGGAATACTGTGGACGTGAGTAACTCCCAGTTCCGGAGGCTGGAAACTCCAAGAGCATGGAACCGCCATCTTGCTGCCTCACCCTGGTGAAAGGCATCACATGCTGAGACACAACAAGCATGCTAGTTTGGGTCTGTTATCACCACAGGGAGCTCATCCTCATGACCTCATCTAATGCTGTTGACCTCCCAAAGGCCCCACCTCTACACACAGTTACTTGAATTTGGGGATTAAATTTCCGGCATTTCAGGAGGAGGGGGTACATTTAACCCATCACATATCTCTCAAGCACATGGTGTTCTTTTCACTTTCTATGCCTCGCTCTATTTCAAATAAGCCTTTGCTAAGTGGAATTGTGTGAATGTGTATTGCAGACCTTAAAGTGTCTTCGTAAGTGGAAGGCAGCCATTCCTTAGGCGTTTTCATTGGCAGCAAGAGCTGTTATGCATGGAAGCCTCAGAGCTGGTCTCTCCCCACCTATTCTTGGAGCCCCAGGAAGAATTATTACCTCTCCTTGCCAGTGTGTCCTCAGGCCACTGATCACCTTTTTGATAAACCTCAAGGCTTTGTTTTGGATCAGATGGCAAATAATTCTTTTGGACTTATAAATCATTAACACAACACACCTGGACATATTTAGAAAACCCCAACCACCACCACAGTTGGAAACTCCATTAGCTTGTAGGCACATGCACAAACAGCTCTCTAAAAGTACATGACCAACGTGTGAAAACTCAGCAGCCAGATACCATGAGTTGGCTTTGGTTTTATATGTTTTGGTGTATGTGGCACTATAGTATTGATGGCGCTGCAGTTTTCTAACAAGTTTGTTTTAAGCGTTGAAAGCCAAACGATGTCAAAGCATTTAAATTTTTAAGGATATGCTTCAGATATAGAAGGTTGAGCATTTCTTGAGCTTTGATGGTCTGATCCAAGCAAATAGCATGGGATTCATGAAGGATATGGGAAGAAGAAGAAAGTGACAGTGACAGGATAGGTTTGATCTGCATCACTAGTTCCAGTCGTTTAATGCAGGGATCCACAGCCCCAACTGGTACCTGTCTGTGGCTTGTTGGGTGAACAACAGGAGGTGAGCAGCAGGTTAGTGAATAAAAGCCCCTCATCACATTGCATTGCTGCCCATGTTCTGCCTCCTGTTAGATCAGAAGCAGTGTTAGATTCTCATGGGAGTAAACCCTACTGTGAACTGCACGTAGGAGGGATCTAGGTTGCACTCCTTAGGAGAATCTAATGCCTGTTGATCTGAAGTGGAGTCGAGGTGGTGATGCCAGTGCCAGGGAAGGACTGCAAATTAGCAGAGAGGTTTGAATGCACAGAGACCTTAATATATGAACTGCTTACAGACTCATATCAAAACCTTAAAGTGAGTGTCAAGTGACATGCTGTATCCAGTGTGGCAGCCCAAAATGGGATTATGAAGTGAAGTGGACATAAACACCATATGGTGGGTGTCACTGCCTCCCATCACTCCCGGATGGAGTGTCTTATTGCAGGAAAACAAGACCAGAGCTCCCACTGATTCTACATTATAGTGGGTTGTATAATTATGTCATTATATATTATAATTAGTAATAGAAATAAAGGGTAATGCACCTGAATCATCCCAACTGCCCCCCGCCTAGTCTGTGGAGAAACTGTCTTCCTCAAAATCAGTTCCTTGGTACCAAAAAGGTTGGGCACCCTGGTTTAAGGCATATCTCAACCAATAAAGCACCAAACTCTTCAACAGAGGTACTTTTAGTCATTCGTATTTAAACATTGGCCTCTGAGTTTGATCCAAGTCCTAGCTAAGTCCAGCTCTGCTACTTGACCATTTAATACCCACATAATTTCAGGCCTTCCTTCAGTTTCCTCATCTGCACAGGAGGAAAGTAATGTGAAGATTACACGAGATAATGCCTGGGAGGTACTTCCTGCAATGCCTGCACAGGGTGATCGTAAATAGCAGATAGCAAAGATGATGTGAGGACGTTGGCCATGGTGACTACGAGAGAGTCATAGTGAAGCAAAAGTGGAAAATGCTCCCTGGTCCCTCCACTCACTCTGTCTCCCTCAAGGTCTCTTCCTTGGTTACATCTTCTCAATTGTGCCTTCAAATTGAGATCTCCCCAAAGTGCAGCAATTACACCAAAGATTAATGTACACAGTGAACATTAAATGAATCCTACTAACTGCCAGACATCACATTAAGGATGGGTTAACAAAATGACCCAGAAATGGTGCTCGGCTCAGAAGAGGCCAAAAAAAAATCACTCCAGTAAAATAGTAGCTGAGATGTTCTCTAGAATACAGATGAGGGATGTTCTTCTGTTTGGGGATCCAGAGACAGGTTCCCAGAGCTAATATCTTGCATCCAGCCTCCCAGCACGGCTGAGAAGACAGTGGGGAGGAAGG